TTAATTCCCCCACTCCCCCCCCAATTAACCCTTTCCCTCCCGCAGTACTGCTGCCCGGAACTGGTGGAATTCCTGAAAAAACGCAAATCCCTGGAAGCCGATCCCGCCCCTCCCTCTGCCCGAGCCCCCTCCCCATCCCCGGCACCGGCACCGGCACCGGCACCGACCCCTCCCAAGGCGGCTCCCGAGGGCTCCGAGCCCGGCGCCGACCCGGCCCAGGCCAAGCTCATCATGCTGGTGGACGAGTTCTACTACGGGCGCGACGGCGGCAAGGGCGCGGCGCTGCCCGCCTGCCCGCGCGTGCCGACCTCCTTCCGCTGCCCTCACTGCACCAAGCGCCTCAAGAACAACATCCGGTGAGCCTCGGGATTGTCTGGGAATGGGAATTGTCTGGGAATTGTCTGGGAATGGGATGGGAATTGTCTGGGAATGGGATGGGAATGGGACAGGCAGAGGGCGCGGCGCTGCCCGCCTGCCCGCGCGTGCCGACCTCCTTCCGCTGCCCTCACTGCACCAAGCGCCTCACAAACAACATCCGGTGAGCCTCGGGATTGTCTGGGAATGGGAATTGTCTGGGAATGGGAATTGTCTGGGAATGGGAATTGTCTGGGAATGGGAATTGTCTGGGAATGGGAATTGTCTGGGAATGGGAATGGGAATTATCTGGGAATGAGCAGGGAATGATGGGCAGTGGGATGTGGGCACCGCTGCCCCCACTGCACCGAGCACTCCAAGGAGGAATCACCCAGGAATTATCCGGGAATAACCCAAAACCAAACCGGAAACGATGCCCAGAGCGACTTTTCCCGGGATGAGGAGTGGGAATATCCCGGCATTGCATCCCTGCAGGTTCATGAACCACATGAAGCACCACGTGGAGCTGGACCAGCAGAACGGCGAGGTGGACGTTCACACCATCTGCCAGCACTGCTACCGCCACTTCAGCACCCCCTTCCAGCTGCAGTGCCACCTGGAGAACGTGCACAGCCCCTACGAGTCCAGCAGTCAGTGCTTTCCCGGGAATTTTTCATCCTTAAGTTGGGAATTTCCTCCTGGATTTAGTGGGAGTTCATGCAGGGAAAACCGTGGCTCCTTGGTCAAGGTCACCAAAAAATCCTCCCCAAATCCCACCCGAGTTCCACTTCTCCAGCTCCTCCTGGAGAGCATCCACAGCTCCCAAACTCCTCCAGGCAGTGTTTTCCCGGGAATTTTTCATCCTTAAGTTGGGAATTTCCTCCTGGATTTAGTGGGAATTCCAGGAAAACTGTGACTTCTTGGTCAAGGTCACCACAGAATCCTCCCCAAAACCCACCCGAGTTCCACTTCTCCAGCTCCTCCTGGAGAGCATCCACAGCTCCCAAACTCCTCCAGGAATTGTTTTCCCGGGAATTTTTCATCCTTAAATTGGGATAAATTTCCCCCTTTCCCCCCACCCCTCAATCTCCCACTTTTCCCAACTTTTTTCCCGTTTTTCCCTGGTTTTTTTTTTGGGAACAGCCAAGTGCAAGATCTGCGAGTGGGCGTTTGAGAGCGAGCCGCTCTTCCTGCAGCACATGAAGGACACCCACAAACCCGGGGAGATGCCCTACGTCTGCCAGGTATGGAAAAAATTCCCAGAATTCCCACCTGGAATTCCCAATTCTGCACCCAGAAATCACGGAGTCATTCCCTGCGTGTGCCAGGTACCAAAATTCCCGGGATTTGGGACCCAGAAATGCCCAAAAATTCTGATTTTTTGCCCCCAAAACGACTCCAAATAATTCCTGAAGGTTCCCTATGTGTGCCAGGAATGGAAAAATCCCGGAATTCCCACCTGGAATTCCCAATTCTGCACCCAGAAATCACGGAGTCATTCATTCCTCACGTGTGCCAGGTGTGGAAATTCCTGGGATTTGGTGATTTGGGATTTTCCCACATTTCCCTGGATTTTTTTCCCCATTTTTCCCACATCCTGCTGCTGAAACCCCCCAAATCCCTGGAATTTTTCCCCATCAATTGGGAATTTTCCCCTTTGGATTGGGAATTTTCCCCTTTGGATTGGGAATTTTCCCCATCCTGCTGCTGAAACCCCCCCA